TGCTGAGGCCACACCTCAAACCCATCCTGTGTCCAGTTCTGGGCTCCTCACTGCAGAATGGACACTGAGGGGCTGGAGCGTGTCCAGGGAAGGGAACAGAGCTGGGGAAGGGGCTGGAACACAAATCCCATGAGGGAGCAGCTGAGGGAGCTGGGGGTGTTGAGCTTGGAGAAAAGGAGGCTCAGGGAAAACCTCATTGCTCTCTACAACTCCCTGACAGGAGGGTGTAGCCAGGTGAGCATCAGTCCCTTCTCCCAGGTAACAAGCAATGGGACAGGAGGAAATGGCCTCAAGTTGCACCAGGGGAAGTTTAGATGTCCTGGATATTAGGAAAAATGTCTTTACCAAAGGGGTTATCCAGCCCTGGAACAGGCTGTCCAGGGAAGCAGTGGAGTCGTCATCCCTGGAAGTGCTCAAAAACATGTGGATGTGATATTTAGGGACTTGTTGGCTTAATAGTTGGACTTGATGATCTTAGTCTTTTCCAACCGAAATGTTTCTGTGATTCTAATTTCACTGTGTGGTCATTCTGAAATCAGAAGCAGTTTTTGGAGCAGTGAGGTAATCTTGCCTCTGAAGGTCCACTTGACCATCTCCCACTGCCTTAGTCTGCTTCAGATTTGTATTTTCTCTGGGACAAAGAATATTCTGCCCCACAATCTTAGTTTTTCTTCTTTCCTTCATRTACCATAGCACAGCAGGCAATTTAGAAATAAAAAATGACTGCAAGTTGCTCACTGATCCTGGGAAAAGGATTTATGTATTTCGCAACCTTAACATTATTCATCCCCTCCTTCAGTTTTACGACCCCTTCCTTTTTTTTGTTCTGCAAAAGAAACAAGCAATTTACCAAAAATTCCTTTTCTCTGTTATGTGGCTTGTTTGACATGCAACACAAGTAGTGAGCTCATTCAGGAATGATATTTTAAAATGCCCCATATTCTGAGAATGAGGTAGCTCAGCTTTCTCAGTGCTGGACTGATAATCAGACATGGGCTGCTTAAACTTTAGCACAATTGCCTTCGTGGAAGCAAGTTCCACTCTGACTCCTTCCAAAGGGACTGCCTAATGAATAAGGACTGATTCTGTTTGAAAAAAGTGATCTGCCTCTGTTGAGAGTGTAAATAATAATGAGCAGGTGATGAGTTTAATCCTATTGTAATCATATTGAGCAGCACTTAATTTAAAACTGATTCCAACTATTTAAATTCATGTGTGTAATGATTTATTTAATACAACTCAAATTATTTTGATACATCCCAGTATATTAATTCCTTTTGAAAAGCAAAATAATAAATGTATCTCGCTGTTCTGCAGCAGATTTCAGGTTACCTGTGATGTAGTTATTTATGTTAAGGATATTGTAAAAGAGCCTATAAGAAACATTTTCATTGTCTCTAATGCAGGATCAAAAAGAGTCTTTGAAGGTGGAGAGGAAAAAAATTGTTATAGTAGGGGCAGGTCTAAGATTCTTATTTGAATAATTAAACCTATTTTGTACTTCTAAAAGCATTTTCTAGGAAAGAGTGACTTTGTGGTATGATTGTTACTCAAGTCAGCCCTATTGTTAGGATTAAAAGTACACTTGAATTTATTCTTTTTATTCAGGTGTTTTAGCATTCAAGGAGACAATTTCTTGCACAATGAACAACAGTTTTAACTACTGTCTTATCATCACTGTCTCATTCTTCAGTGAGCTTTTGATGACATGACTTTTAGCTTTTCATGGCATAGATCATGCCTAGTTAATTTTTTTTTTTTTGCTAGCATTTTGATTTTAAGATAGGCTTTAGTTAGAGAAATAATTCTTAACTGAATCTAATGAAGGATAAATAGTTATCATATCAACTGTAGCTGGAAACCAATTTTTCTAAAGTTTTCAGGAAAACAAGAGGATCCAGATTTTTGTTCCTAAACTGAAGCTTAGTTTAAATGGTGGATTTCAGGTCTGAGTTTGAGTCAGATTCTGGAGCCTTACCCAGCTCCTCAAAAATTTTTTTTTTTCAGTGTGGGATATTTTCTGAGTGTGGAAAACCAGAAATAATAGTGGGATGATTGGAAAAGAAGTTGTCACATCCCAWAGAAAGATTCTGTTTCATGTGGCTTCAACCTGTATAGGGCAGGGAGATGTGTCATTCTTAACCACAGCTTTTTACTCATTGCAAAAGCAATGTAGAGCTGTCCCTTTTCTATATGAAAGTGAGCCTAGACAACAAAATTATCTAACCTTGTAGCTTGGAACAAAAAGTCTACCATACCTGTCAAGCTATATTTGTAAATGTATAATTGTACAGAGTGAAGCATAATTCTAGAGAGTGAAGTTGGCAGCTACWGAAGATATTCAGTAGTGCATTACAAGAAAAGGATTTTATTTGGGGTATCAATGTATTACCTTTCAAACAGTTTTAAAAAGCCATTCAGTARAATCCAGACTTTCTAATAACTTAGCCCATTGAAAGAGAATGGAACCTTTGTCAGCCTGGTGTTTAAAACTTTACCCATAAACTTATTTATTTGAAAAATGGCTGATTTGTTTCATAGAAATTGAAACTATTAACTCCAAATTTACTATTCAGTAAAATACATTTTATGTTCCATAAATATTTTGTGCTTTCTTAGTTTTACCCTAAGCTTTTACAAGTGAAATCAATTTCTTTCCTCAACTCTATTCATCATGAAAATAATATGAATCCTGTCTTTTATGAAGCTGTCATAGTTCCTGAGAAATATTRGACCCTAGGGCCCACTACTCCATTTAAAACATTCTTCATGTTCATATAATCTTTTTTTTTAAACATTCCTTTTGCTTGTTTGATGACTTTTATTCTTTTGCTTCTCATTGAGTGAAATTCAATATTATGTCCCTATTCTGCTTTTTAAAACACAACTTAATAGAACACACTAAAAAGCAGAGATTGAGTATTTTTAGTTTTTTAAAGGGAATATAGCCATATTTATCACATCATCTGTATCCTTAATTCTCCTCTTTTGTGTTTTTCGTTTGCTTGCATATTCTCTGAAAGATGTAGGGATTCCAGATGAATTGAAAAAGAGCCCAAGCTA